ATGGTACAAGAGTAGAGTGTCTGTGTTATCCCATGGTACAAGAATAGGGTGCCTGTTTTATCCCATGTTACAAGAGTAGGGTATCTGTGTTATCCCATGGTACAAGAGTAGGGCGTCTGTGTTATCCCATGGTACAAGTGTAGGGTATCTGTGTTATCCCATGGTACAAGTGTAGGGTGCCTGTTTTATCCCATGGTACAAGAGTAGGGTATCTGTATTATCCCACGGTACAAACATAGGTAGTCTATGTCATTTAAAGGAGCAAGAGTGTATCCCTATTATGCTGTAGAACAGGAATATAGAGTCTAGGTCTAGTTAAACCTTTTTTCACTGTCCCTTGAATTAATGTACTAGGTTATGTGGTTTACTTGTGCGTTTATTCTAAATAAGTTTTTTAATGTATTAGATTTGGCTTCACACATATATTTCTTAATTATATGGACTATGAATTAGTTTTCCTACTCTGGCTTTACAATTATCTGAAATAGTTTTTACGTTCCGTTTTCATTACTTTATTTAATTAATTAATTTAATAATTTTACAACCAGATGTTTAGAATCTAATTGAGGGCATGGTCAACAGGACAAGAGTCCCATGTAAAGACCAGCCTAAAATAGATAAATATTCCTTTTTTTTCCCTTTCCCTATTGGGATCTTTGGGATCTTGAAATTGGGATCTTATAATTTTGGCTTCCCTGAAAAATGGTGACGTAAAATTACTCATGAGCAATATACAGGTGAGATTTTAAGATGTTGGAATTGAATAAAAAAGGAATTTTTGCTATTTGCTCATCCCCCTCCCTCCCTTCCCCTCGGTAAATAGTGAACGGTCCGTTAGTTGCACACTGATTTAGTAAGAATCCCTTAACAATAATGCTTTTTGAATTCAAATACCACTCTGTTGCTTGATTGCAGAGTCACTTGTTCAGGATTATATTTATTTTAGCGTCAAATAAATACCAACAGTAAAATAAAGAATACATCACTTCAACAATAACTTAGGGTATTTTGAAATTCCAAGCACCTTGACTGGAAAATTAATATTCTACACAAGATTGAGACAAGCCAGAGCAACAGAGAGTTTAAAACTGAAGTATTTTTAAAAGGTTATTTGTGCTAAGCAAACTTGAAAAATCGTAAAAATGTTTTAGTCGAATAAGAGATTAGGCCTTGCAATAGACCTTTATATTCGTGATGTGACAATGTTTTCCCAATTCAGCGTGACAAACCTCTGGGGGAATGAAGAGCTATTGTTTTGAAACTCGTCGGGATGTCATCTTTATTCCTTTCGTATCCKTTAGGATACTCATGAATTTTTCGAAGAGTAAAAACAAAAGAAAATGAATCCCCTGGAGGTTCGTCACGCTGAATTGGGAAAACATTGTGTTATGGGATGGACCGCTCTCGGTAGAGCTACTCGGGATCTTTATTCCACTTTCTCTTTACTCTGACTAAAACTAATTACATGAGCTCTATTTATACTAACTTCATGACAGGTGTCATTCTACAATCAATATGATATCATCGCTGTGCCTTGATTGGCTAATGGAAATAGTAAATTCCTGAGTGTGATATCTTATTAAGAATAATACGAGTGAAAATCATAGAACTAAACATAACTTAAACCAAGGATAATATGTGAATATATGGTAAATGTATAGAAAGGTCTACGAGGAATAWWTRTATCATAAGATTTAAAAGAATAGTGSTAAAATAACTAAGCAAAGGGGTAAAAGAGTGTTTAGGGTGTAACCATAGGTGTACATGCTAATGGGAGGAGCTAAGTAGTTTACTTGTAAATTCAAATCTTATATCGATATTTTCAATAACTAATTGATCGTTCTTTATCTTGTTTTCATACGATAAGAAATAGTAATTAGAAAACTGATGTCTAGCTTAGTCGGTAAAAACATTAATTTTCTCTCTCATAACAATTGTCACACCACGAATGAAGTCTATTTAACCTAGACTGAAAAATATGCGCATGCATTTGTAATACTCCCATTTCGAGTTCGCCTTTTCTCAGTCTTAGCCTCGATTGTGTACAAATGTATTCTTTTCTAATTTTATTAAGTTCCATTGTATAGTAAGGAATGTACGCAATGCGGAACAATACAAGTTGATTAAACTTCCATGGGTTTTGGTTGAATAGCTCAATATTATAAAGACAACCGAGCCTTAGCCTGAGCAAAGAGACCTCGAAACTGAAGTATTTCTTCGTTATGGCAAGAATCCAAAATTCACGACATTTGAGACCCGAATCGAAGTTTTGGGAACTTAATATTATATAGTTTAAAATAAAGTCATTTGATTATGCAGCTATTTCAAAAAATGGTTGGCGAGGTCTTGTTGCATGTTGGACGTTGCATACCAAGCTTGAAATGTATTATGGATAATATGTAAATAACATAAGCACAGAAAATATGCCGGAAACAAGTGCACACAATGAACGTCTGGTAGAATTCCATATTTTCTGCCCTGGTTGCATTTACAATCGCCCATTGTGCATTTGGGGCTTGGCAATCAACATGCAATATGCAACAATGATGCAACAAAACCATTACCAGCTATTTTTAGAGTAGCAATATATGAGTATGTTTGATTTATTAGCATGCAATCAAGATGAGCGTAATGTTCTTTAAAATTCCAAGAAACCATGCTCTTTCTTTGGTCCTTACTATATTTGACGGTATGAAAACGAGCAAGGGACTGGGTCCGAGTTTGAAAAACTAATCTAAGATACCGTTTTTGAATTAGTCGGACACCAGACTGTGTTCCTTGATTGCCGACTCATTTAATCGGTGTTAATCTTATTTCAGGCATGCCAAAATATTTGCCAATACCAAAAGTAAGGTAAAGAATGCACAACTTCGACAATAGAATTCAAATACTTTGAAATTCCTCGCAACGTGACTGTAACACGAATTCGAGGCTAACCCTGTACAACAGAAACTCGAGTATTAAGGTTCCAGAAAAAAAATTACGCTGTTAAACGAAAGAGCAGCATGCAACAAGCTAACTGAAGAAGTTTCGCGATGTTGGACGGTGTAGAAAACAAACTCGGATCAGTGTAACACATATATTCAAGCTCATTTGAGAAGTGCCACGTTCAGAAGGAAAGGATTCGAAGTTTATTGCTTTTTTTTCTTCTAGAGATCCGAAAAGCAAATGGACAGATATATGAAACTGATAGTTTAACAAGTTTTAGGCGGAATTCATTTGATTTTAGAGAAAGAAACAACACGCACACTCGCTGATTGAAAGTCGTGAATTTTCAAAACACTTTATATTTAGAGGTATACTGGTCACCAACAGCAATAGTCCCCTTCACGGTTCCCTGCGCCATCTYGAAAGGTAGTTGGGCCTTTGTATCGAAGCGAGACGAACGGTGAGCTTGCAATGATAGGGACCTGTGAATAATTGTCCAAGGTGTTGAAAAAAGGTCTCTATCATTGCAAGCTCACCGTTCGTCTCGCTTCGATGTGAAAGGCACGGCTACCTTTCAAGATGCACAGGGAACCGTGAAAGGCACTATTGTCCAGAATGTATAGGGATAAGTTTGATATTGCAAAGCCCATTTCATATTTCATCCTTTCCGAATCAAAAACAACACCAAAAATAGTGATTTTCGACTGAGATTAATGATACTATTTTTCTTATCCCTAGCTGTGACAGTAATAGATCAATTGATATATAATCAGCGTACAGATATTTGCCACGTGTCATTCACATCGGGTRGCACTGCATTACTAGAGCCATCCGGAACTTCATTGTCGCACGAATAATAAACGACAAATTCGAAACCGTGTGATCGACTTGTGTGACAAGCCAKAGCAGGTAGTCTCATGGGACCCATACAGCATGATGCTCCCCACTCATTGGCCGGAGTATCACCCCATTCACTGCATTTTCCGCTAAGGATTGACGTGTCGTCAGGCAGTGTATCAAACGAACCACAAGCCGCAGGGCGTACTGAGGCTACACCTGCGTTTGTAAAGAACTTTACTACCTCATGTCCAGCGGTGTTGTTTTTGGTCATGATGCTCACTACTCTACCGACAGATACCTTGCGACAATAGAAATGAATCTGGTTGAATCCCATCTTGTTCTTGATATCCAACATGGCGGCACCCATAGGCATGACGTTCACGTCTGTTCTGTTGTATTCTTTGATGACCTCATAGGTTGATGGCTTGTGTTCAGGCAATTTAGTGTTGTTAGACTGGACGACTAACTTCGTGACCACAGTCCATCCACCTGAAAGTCGAAATTAATTTTTTTTTTTTWAACAATTAAAATATAGGATAGCCTATAGGATAGTTCTAAAACTAGGAACCAAGTCACACATATATATCCAAAATAGAGGATCTGATACGGACGTTAAAAGTATTTTACCGACGGTACAGATGGTGACAAAGTAATTTATATGCAAAATTCAGGCATTAACGCACGAGTAGAATTGGTCACCCTTTATTAAAGGGTGTCTGTTCATAATAATAGAATTGGTCAACCTCTGGTAAACATGGAAATTTATCAATTGCAAACACACCACACATCACACTGTTATGGTTACCGGAAATCTATCGATCTCGTGTGCTTCGATTTGATCTGGGTAAGTCACAATGTTAAATAATCATTGCAAAATAATTATTCGACTCTTACGTGATGCGCCGTTTTCAAGTCTCTAAGACGCATCTATCCATCGATCTCGTGCACTTTAAAATGATCTGTGTATTTAGTTACAATGTCAAAAGTGCCCTCCCTCCCCATCTGTTACCTCCATTGGTTGTCATGTCGCAAAGAACTTGGATCGGTGTTCCAGTTTTTGGTGGATCTAACCAATATTCCCTAGAACCTTTAGAATAGCCACCTTTCAAGATATGCAAACATGACTTAGCAGGATTTTCCAAAGTACCATCTAAAGAGTAAAATGTGGACGACAAATGTTTGTTACTCATCAAAATGCATGGAAGGAAGGAAGGAAGGATGGATGGATGCATGGAAGGATGGATAGATGGATAGATGGAT